GTTCATGACTGTGCATTGATATTTTCTCGTTCGGTCGCCAAACTACTCATAATGCATCGACTGGTTCGCCAGTCAAAATTTTTCGACCGAATATTACATTCATCTTTTGAAGCTCAATCAGCGGGCTGTTTTGAGGGTGGCCACTGAAGTGCAGTTCAGCTCGATGGCCACCAAACAGTCGAAGCGGAAGCATTTGCGACCACTTAAATGCAACCTAAGCATAAGGGCAATTCGACCCAAACATTGCTACTCACTGACGTAGCATAAATCAGTAGCAAAGTAACGTTTTAATTTCAAAATCTCGGATACCTCAGCATCGTAATCATTCGAAACGTCGCCCTCTTTAGCCCTGAGAAATGGTGATTAGCATAATCAGTTAAGCTATTTGTTCCAGTCCAACGATGTAGAAATCGTTGAAATCCTACCGGGGCACGTGAGCATATTCTGGAAAAGATGCGTGCAAATACCATGTCTGCTGTCAAAGTTGAAGGAGAACAATCTGAGCGAGTGCCTAATAACTGTGGAGCTCGTCAGGGGATGTTCCTTTTCCTCTGCAAGTCAGCATAGTTGTCGACTTTCTTCTTCGAAGTAGCATTTACCCTGGCAGAGACGAAGGTCTCATTTCAAAAGGAAGACGCTGCCCAAGATGTCCGGCTAAAGACCTTAATCTGGAGCACACATATGATATTTTTTGGTTAGCAGCATAGAGAGCTGGCCCCGACATTTGACCGCTTCCGTATGCGATATATCTGCGAAAGTCGGCCTTTTCCTTAACACCGGAAGTCAAAAACTATAATAAACCCATCCAGCACAGCTGATCTACAAGTAAAACTGGGAGAGGAGGCAATCGAGTAGGTTGATAAGGTTGAGGATATCGGTTCCATTGTCTCCATCGATAGCGCCACTCAGTCACAGTCAAATTGGAGGATCGCTCTCGACTCCAGCACTTTTGGCAACCTCCTCAATGCTTAGAAGAAGAAAGTGGTAAACGTTTCTACTGAAATCCGCCGGTGCTTTTCTTCGATCAGGTTATTTTTGATCGTACTGCATGGGAACAGTTGCTGTTACGAAGTACAAACAGTGGCGGTTGAACAGCTAACAGCAGTATCGGCTTCGACGCACAATGAAAATTAAATGACAGCACCTAGTACAGAATGGCTCCATTCCTCTCTAAGCTCAGATGACCTTAAAAGTTGTCGAGATCAAAAGAAAGAGGTTACCTCTGTTAGACAAATTGGAAGCGTATGGACTATTTGCTTCAGCCTATGAGCTTATCGTGTGGGACCTGAAGCATGGTTGAAGTCCACTGGGGAACCAGCGTGCAACATTATTGAACAACGTAGAGGTAGATTTGCTTTCTGATTGGAATTGTTCCTTTCTTCGATTCAGTGGCCGCTGACTTTTTTGAAATGTACATTTACACATAGTGCTTATGTTTAGTCAGCTAACAGGTGTATCAAGGCAAATTGCAGTTGGAAGGTCAGGCAGCATGGCCACCCCAAAATGTACCATGCTGTCTCTATTAGAAGATCAGCGACCTGCTGCCCGTTTTTTCGCTAGTTGCACGGAAACAGTTGGAAAAATTTGTTGCTCAAGGGAATTACCAGTTAATAAGAAAAATTTCCGCCACCGATAGGGTTTGATTCCGGCACTCGTATAGTACAAAGCAAACTACTGAAAAATTGCGCCTCGTTTCCGAGTCATGAGATAAATTACATCAATTAGCGGCATATGGTACTGCAGATGCTCAAATATCATGTTGCTGCAGTATGCTTAAACGGCTCCGCCAGGTAACTAGGACAAACAGGCGGTGCAGTACGCGTGAAATCTAGTATAGAATGAGTTATGTTACTTGTGTTAGCTAACATGAATTAATTGATATATTGTTTAATGCCTCAACAACATACTACGCTTTGCTGAAAATTTGCTGATTTGCAGATTTCCCGATTACCATTGATTGCTTGAAGTTTGCGTCGCAGTCCAACCGTCTCATGACTTTATGCCGAGACCAGCGTTTGTATGCATGTCGGAATTCTACTCACACTCACTCATTCTCGAAGTGGCGGCTGCAGCAGTCGATTTCTCACAGAAAATGCGCATCTTTTGACGTTTGAGGTCTTTGCGCTAACCTGTTTTTGTTTGACGAGTCATCCTCATATTTCATATCGCCATCTGGTACGCAAGACCGGTTCGACAAACTTTTCTACGCCATTCTTCGAAAAGTTGAAATAGGCGGTGCCACCCCAGTTTTTCGTCCTAAGCACAATTTCTCATTCTACGTCGATGAACAGCATCGTTTTAGTTGTTGCCGTCGGTCGCTGCATGCAGATCGCGACTTTACAACAGGTTTTGGAGACGCTGACGAAAAAATAGAAATAGCACAAAAGTACTTTCTTAACTGTACATCGTGCGAAGTTAAATTTGAAAAAAATTGAGTGACTCAACGCGACGGAATGCGCATCGACCGTTACGGCTGGACGCCTTTTTCGATGAAGTTCATCACTGTCTGAGAAATGGCCTTGCGGAGGCGGCAACAACTGTGTGAATGGTGAGGCGTGCATTGAACGTACGGCCTAACGAAAACTGACTGCCACAATGCTAGAAACTCGCAACCAGGGACAGTTGCGCGACAATAATAAAGCTCTGGTTCCTGCAGCACCGAAACCTCCATAACAGGCAGCTGAACTGTGATAGCTAAACGTGACTGTTAAACAGAAACACACACAATCATTTACTATAAGTCAACGAAACCTCACCATTCACAGTCCAAGCTGTTCTTCACCTCTTGAAATTCAGGCTCTGACCAAATTTCCAAATTACATGCCAGAATGAAGCACCGCGGCGGGTTCCCCTAAACCACGGCAGTGGCCGTGAAGTCCAATGAAGAACGCAGAAACGGACAACTAAGGGTGTTCTGGCTAAGAGTTATGAAGGCGTAACCTCACTGACTTCCTATTTTTATGTATTTTCTGTCTGTACGCTAGCCGCCGTCGCTAGCCACTGATAGGATCTTCGTTTCCGGTGACTGTGAAGTGTGGCAAAGCCATTCAGAAGCTGCTGACAAGCGAATGATCAACTGAATATCGTTTATATCTATTATTATAACAGTAATGCAGGCCGACACGCCTCATTGCTCTCCCTGCTGTAAATCTGAAGTATGATTACTGGTGCTCATAAATGAAGCGCAGATCCTCATCGGTATAGACCACCTAAAAGATGAATAAAACATCGGGTCACAAGGCAATCACTAATATGATTAAACCTGAATGGAGTGAACACAGTCTCTATAGGAATTAACTTTAGAAATTGATGATATCTATCGTCAATTATTAAAGCGTCTTCCTTTGCGCAATCAATTCTCCTAAAATCAAAATTTCAAGCATTTGATGGACTATGGCAGATATCGTGAGAGCCTGCTTTTCAGGTGTGCACTCAGAAAATGTGATGCAGTAAACAGGCGCTCGAGGCAAACAACCTACCACTCGATGATGATAAATAAATAACGATTGCAATTGTCATTTACGGTTAACACTAGAGCTGCCAAACTTAGTTATATTTGCCATGAATTAAATGGCACTGCAGATTTATATCAACATTACGCACAATTCGGTTGATTCTGTCGCGACATTCCAAGTCGGATGCAGCAGTAGTTTGCCTTTGGCAGGTGCTGCTAAAATTAACAGTCACCGCCAAAATGTCTGACATCGACAATGGTGTGTCAGAAAGAAATCCTTTGGAGCAAATTCCCTTTGTCATAAACTTGAATAAATACAGGCCTCTAAGCGTCTACGACAGCTTCGGTCTGTTTGAATTTTCAGTGTATGTTTAATGATGAACCGGCGATGCCACTTCATATTGCGCGCTCCGTATCCAATACATAAATTTGCATTTGCTGGCCACATGATGTTAACTGGAAAGTGCTACTATTCGATATTCATAAGTTATTCATAAAAGAACAGCTGAGTTTTGACATCAATTAACATAAAGAAAATTGCTCTCTATAGGCTAATTAAAACTGATTAAATTCTTTATATAGGTCGTGCAAAAAGTCCCACGCGCTTTTATGAAGTTGTCGAAGCAATTAGATTGACCGCTTTGTCCGATTATGTGTGTCCGTATATAGTCGACAACGAAATTTAGAAGAATCTTTTTCTGTTGGTTATGAAGCCATACTTTTCCCTTGGAATTCTTGAATTGGTGAGTCTCCAGTAGGTAGACCGGTCTTGTCCACAGACCTCGTATCAGTTTCGAGAGCAGTTTCGTTTCGTGAGTTCACGAATTCACTGGGTCACGCTGAGCACTAAAGTGTTTCACCAAAAAGGCAGATAATTGAAATATTTTGATTTTTCTAAGGTAACAAAAATGAAGTGGCCAGTTAGTTTAAGAATCTCAATTTCATTGTTTCCGGTACTGGAACTAGTCGCGTAAGTTTAAATAGAGTAACGGTATTGTCTCAAATGATGCCCATGGATACAAAAAAATTTTTCATCTAGACTTATTTCAAGCTCGCACCACGTGACCAGTGTTTTCTTATTGTATGAATATTAAAGACTAGATACACACATTGTGCAGCTCGAATTGGCGCAATGTACTCGTTAAACGATACACCATTTAAGGAATGATTATGTGACGAAACACTCCAAATCTACTGAAGTTTTCTTGCTCAGACTTCGGTGCGTTAACATTCGTTTTTTGCACGACTCAAAAATAGACTTGGCTAATGAGGACAACATCATAGGGAATATGTGAGGT